GGAGTGGGTTTCCGTTGATCAGGTTTCTTTGAAAAGCTCTCTTCCCTTTCATTTTGTTCAATGCGCACTGCCCTGCTATGCAACTTTCAGCGAGTATAATAATCCTCAGCTAACTCTGCTGCCTTGTTTAGCTGTACTTCACCATGTTTGTCCTGCAGCCAAAACTTGACATCCTCCTCGATGCAGCGGTAGAGTTGCTTTATTGCAATGCATTCTACTACTTTATCGCAATTGTCATAAACACCTTCGCCCTTGAGCCATTGAATTAAATCGGCTTTAAGACGAAACTCGAAGAGACAACATGCGACTCATTCCCCTTTTTAGCATACCGGAACTTTTGCCCGAAAGCCTCGGGTGACAATTCATAACGTCTCAAAAGCACTTCCTTAACTTCGTCATAAAGCTCAAACATTTCCCTCGACAAGCACGTTATCATGTCGGACACTTCGCCGGGAAGAAGAGCTAACAGGTTCTGTGCCCAAAGAGACCACCAATGAATTTCTCTCGCAGACGTGTTTGAACTTGACGAGATACTTCATCTTCTCCTCGCCTGCTACGAACGGTGGCATTTAATCGCGAATTCTCTGACATCGCACCTGAACTGTCGCAGAAGCTACGCTAGGCACCTGCGAACACTGTAGGATTGCCAATTCTATTCATTTCAACTGAAGACGCTCCTGTCTCTCGGCCTCTTCATGGTGTTCTCGCCTTTCAGCTTCACCACTTTTGCAAACTTCTCGCCTTTCAGCCTTCTTGCGGCATGTTTTGATATCCGCCCAGGCCTCATCGACTTCCTCAGTCGTCGCTCCTGCATCTCTCTTGATCTCAAGGATCGCTTATTTTCGTTTCGCACAACTCAAAATAAGACCAAGTTCTCCACAACTTCCGATGAGTTCCTTCCCCTGAAGGTTCTTTATCGTTCACCCTAGCCTCTTGATGTTTGCCCCTGTTGAGAATCTTCTTGCCGTACCCACTCAAAATCTACTAGCAAGATGCACAAGCAATTTTCAACGCTGCTGTGTTTACACCCTCCGCAATAACTGTTACAAATTGTGTAGAAGACGAGGAGCGACGTTATCGTCGATAAAGGACGTACATATTCACAGTGCAGCCTCATGAGGGCAGGCATCGTCTGGAGGCTCGTGAGACGGGACCCCTCATGTCTTCTTCGGCTCAGTCATCACTCGCCGTTCCCGACAATCACCAGATATGCACAAGATTACGAAGAACGACAGCCCGACAAGTGACGGATATCCGTTGTGTGAACCTTCTGCGGTGGATCCTGTGTTGACTCCGACTTCGCCTCGTAACACGGTCAGCCAGTGATTTCTTCTGTTTCCGACATTGAACCGGATCTTGGAGCCCCTCAACGAAAGGCGGAGTCAAACACGAAAGGCCGTCACGCAGGTAATCGCAAATATCGAACACCTTTGGCATATGGACCACCCATCAGTATGTGAGTTGAAGAAGTTTCACTAAATTTAAACTGAACAGTACGAGTGTCTCTGAGGAATAGATGAGGCGATTGAAAACGCAGTTGACATCGATCACTTGGCAGCAAATATGAAGGAAGCTGACGTTTACGAGCACATGACTATTATACCAAGGGTCAGAGCAGAATATAAGATCGCATATACAGTATAGGCTCGGCAGAAGTCCTTGACTTAATACGGCACCATATGAAAGTGGAAGCCCAGAAGAAAGTACTTTCACCGACAATGTCCCCGCAATCTTACAATTACGTCTTCGACAGCCATCTTGTCTCACAGAATTTAGATCAGTGTATCACGGGGCAAATATAGAGAGAAAATTGCAGCACACAAGCTGGAACTTCAACTACAAAAAAGGCCTCTTCCGCACCGTTAGAGATCTCACCAACGTGCTGCACTCACATAGCTACTGACAAGAACTCTACAACAACTGCAGTGTTAGAGGTGAAAAGCATTCCCATGGCACTCCCAAAAGGCCATTCACGAGATACTAATAATGCATCCAATTGAAAGGTGGCAGACTCAGACGTTACAAAGCCCTCATCAGCCTGTATTCGATTGCCCAATGGAGGAAAATTAAGATCACTTCATAGAGCAAAAAGAAATGAAAGAGAAAAAGGAAAATTCGTGGCGACAAGAAAGCAAACACCTTGTACAGCGCCAAGCTTCTGCTCAATGAGAAATAAGCACAAATCAAGCGAGTGCATCTTGTTGTGCACATTTCTCGTTTCTCATGTGCATAAATCAAGAGAATATGTACCGCATTGCTCGTAGTGCGTAACCAGTCTTACGTTTTGACCTGCAAGGTGGTGCCAGTGAGAGATTTTTCGGGTGTGTTGTTGAACAATAAAAATTCGCAGCGTGCGCGTTAACTACAGCCGAATTCTCCTGTCTCTTATTCCCCATTAGCAGCCATTGGAATGTAGATTGAACACTATCTGACAAGAAAAGGTTGCTAACCTTCTTGGTTTTAGAAAGGTTTAGCGAGCGCTGGGCCGCAGTGCCATGACTACAGTGAAATAGTATATACCATGAGCTCGAGGTGGTTAAAGGTGGGAAGTAGACGCGAAGAACAAGCCGTAAGAAAATGTGCGTGTGCCTCGACTCGTTTAGTCCTTGGAATGTTCTCTGGATGGCCTTGCTTTTATATGCGGAATATATGATGAAAATATGCGAGATGGTGGCACTTGGAGTGTTGACTACATGAACAAACGGACACACCGACAGATGCATGGACGGATGCAAGGATGGCTGCATGGACGGATGGACGCATGGAAGAACGCTGGGACGAATGCAAGGATGAATGCAGGGACGGACGCATGAATGGACGTGCGGACGCACGAACAGATGCACGCATGGGCGGGTGGATGGACGCACTGATTATCACACAGACGGACGCATGGAAGGATGGAAGCAAGAACGAATAAACGGACGCATGCTTCGCCCCACTCTCCATCATTCATCCCGTGGATATGCTGCCATGTTTATCTGAAGTGCCTTCAACGGAAATTTAAATACTAGAGAAACCTGCTCAGTGGCAACAGAGGTGCGTCTATGTCAACGCACTCAATAGCATGAACGCGGCACAAGCGCCGAAAACACTGCTGGGAGATCAAGTGCAGGAGAAGAGCAAGATGACACTACTAGGACTGACGTGGAACTCTTATTGATACTGACGAACATTTTGTACTCGGAACTCATGTGAGCATTCAGTTTTCTTTGTCGTCAGGCGCCACTGTGGGGGCACGGAGGATATTACAAATTGTGCAGAAGACGAGGAGCGACGTTATCATCATCAGGGAGGATACCTGGACTCGGAAGAAGAAAGAAGTCGATCGGCAGGCTTCGCCATTGACAGGGCGGGTCGCTCCTTTCCTCAACATTAACTTTGATTTCAAACCGCTTAGACTTTGCTTGAAACGATCAAAGCTCATTCATTAATGCTTCACACAGACCTTCTCTAAACTACTATAACCTGTGCTAGAGTAGTCTGGTGAACTGAGGGGAAAGCATCTTGCACTCATCGCAACGATGTCGCTGACGGCGATCCCGCAGCTACCATCCACTGTTACGAAGGCGCGCCGCTGACGCGGTTACGAAGGCCACCACGAAATTCGCCACTTACAAGGACACCAGCCACGCCGACAGCGGAAGGGCTCGAAGCAACGAGATGTCTTCTCTCGCATGCATACGTCGGCTTCCCTCTGACGCATAGGTCAGCTGCTGGCGATGCGCCACTTGGCTTTTTTTATAGGCACCAGGTGGACCTTTGCGTCACCAACTTCCAAACAGAAGCGCCACTGGCCGTGATGTCAGAATCCTCTAATGAGGACTCACCACTGGGCTGCGGCATGATCATCAAATCCGAAGCCTCGCTCTGGGTTGCACCCAAAAAAGAGTGATGTTCCCAAGCATTGTGTAAGGCTCGCCAGACTGGTAGGTGCCGAATGCTTGCTTCATGGGGCTCAAGGGCTGAGGGAGTTTTCTGTGCGTTGCGTAAGACAGACCGGCGGCGCCGCTTGGCGACGTCGTTGAGTTATCGCGTCAGGCAGGCTGGATCGCTTGCTTTGACACAGATTGCTTTTGCAGAGGCATTGGCATTCGGTGTGGACTCCCAGGCGTAACACCATGCAGGGTGCTTTTATAGAGTCTTTTTGTTCGCACATGATCCAGTTAGTCCTCGATCTAGCTCTGTGTTATAGTACTATCGCGCGTTCGTAGAGTCACGCGTAAGAGGCCATGGTAAAACGAGTGGCTATTCTAGGAATCTGCGTCACGCGCGTAAGAATTTATTAATGGCGGGAAGCGCGAGAGAGCATTGTCGTTCCCTATAGACGGATACTCGGCGCACGTTTGTCTTCTCGCTGCATGAATGATAGCGCTGGAATACGGAACTGCACGAGCACACGTGGTTTTTGCAGCTTTCTTTTGGTGGTGCAAAAAACAATCGCTGTGTATAATCTACCTTTTCATAAAAAACAAGGTCTGTCGTTTTCGAATTTCCTTTAAAACATAAGAAAATGCACTTCAGTTACAGTCCTTCAGTGTATTCTAAGCATGACGCAATTGATCTAAATAGTGGAAATAAGTTCTGCTAAAACCCGCGAAGAGGCAGAAGACTTAAGAAATGCAAACTAGACAACCACCCTTTGTAGAACGAAGACACAAGGAAATCCGTATAGATTTCTGAGAAAGAAAAGCTTCTTCTTGCCAAAAGACTTCCTTAAGTTCTATTTTCAAAAACCAAACCAACGCGCTTCCGGGGTGGTTACTTTACTAATTGAGCTAACCAGGAAGCTAGAAATTGGCTGTGTGAAGGAAACTTCGTCAAAACTCGAATACACGAGCAGTCTTGGTTATATTCGAATGTACCCTTAGGAATGTGTCTGCATACGTGCTCTAATAACGAAGGACTATGTTTTAGGCAGGCGAACAATGTAGCATTGTAGGCCCCTAAAACTACAGCACTCTATTTTCTTGTCAAGTTGTACGGTCTTTTGCAAGCTCAGTAGTAATATAAAGCACAGCATTTCGTTGCCTCTATTTTTCGAACATTTTCACGGTAACTATGCAGTCCTACGTTTTATCAGTAGCCATTTTCTTTTTATTTCCAATAATATCCGAAACTTCAAAAGGATTTCGTCAAAAATCGCGCATTCCCAGATCTCGAGACATCAGAAAGGTAACGAAAGTTCTTCAATTTGGTGGTTTGAGGCTAAGGCGTAGTATGTTAAAAAGAGGACTGTAAACACAGTCAGTGAGAATGAGTAGATTTATATTGAAAATTTTAAGGACAGAGTACACTGGCATTTCTTTAGCAGTAGCTACACTCTGGTGAAGTAGTTTAGATATTCTAATAACTTTCCACATGAGATGTTGGTTCCAGAAATCTTACAGTACATATGAATTCTTGGTTGATTGCTGTCTACAGTTTTATATCTTGTGCAGCCATCTTTGCAGAAGTGTACATATTTGTGGTAGTGAATGCAACATCTCTTAAAAAAGCTATAGAAAGAGTTTTTATTCACAGTTTTAAACTCCCATTTTTGTTACAAACTTGCAAAGTAACGGCCGGTTTGTATTGCTCGAACTTACGTCCTGAACATATTGACGTGTACTACAGTAATATAAAAAAAGTGCCGTTTGCATGCCCCACACTATAAATGATCCTAAATGCAGGGAGTTGCATGGAATGCCTTTCTTTGAAATAAGGGTTGTGTATAGCCATACCTGATGTATGTAAGCAGTCATTCGATTCGCTAATCCTACATAATGAGTACATTGTTTTCAGCTTGAAGTCCTTGCTCAGATGTATGAGAAATTGCCACGTCAGTTTTTTAGCGTGGCCATTGTTTATAGAATTTCATTTTTGCACCTAATCGTTTACACGTAAGCATTGTGTGAGACATATCAAGCCCGCGTGTGTTTCCTTTTATATGTTTGATGCGGCATTTTACACTAAACCTAAATAATACACAGACTTTCTATTTTCAAGTGGGAATCTTTTTCGGTCGAGTGAGCAAAGCCAATTTTATTGTTTCAGGGGCTTAGATTTCATACGCTGAAACAAAGTATTATTAGAAGGCACCCTATAGGCGTGGACTCGAAGATAATTTTGACAATCTGGCATTACCTAACATCGACTTGAATTGAATATACGGGGCTTGTGGAATCCGTGTACCATTAGAAGCGTACGCTTTCATCGCTCAACAGAGAGTTATTCTACGTCCGCTAACCTAGCACATTATATCGCAGGAAATGACGCACGTGTTTGTACAATAACGGCCATCTCAACAATTTAGTGCAATATTCTTGGCAGCAAATCCTACCAATTTAGTGTGTATCCATGCGTTCATTGTGGTTTGAGGACATATATTGTGCACTTTTCTTCGCAGTTTGTCACAAAACGCAAGGTGGAAGCTAAACTTTTTATCTTAATAAACTCATAAATTACGCGAAATGTAATACTATGGGCAATACATAATATAGTAAAACATTCCAGTCAAAATGTTGTGGTGGAGCATTTAATCTGAGGGAATGTAGGAGCTCGATTCAAGGTATGGCAAGTGATTTAGTGGTTGCAAGTGGAGATTGTGTCATTTTGGTCTAGTAACTGGGGAGGCGATTTACACACAAGTGAAAGCTCCGCATAGGAGATTATGAGAATATACACATATACGTGGAAATATCTTCGACAAAGTTAGGAAAACCTGAAAAGCACATACTGCATTTCCGTTTACACAAGCAAGACCACAAACAGGAAGGTAAAAGGTGTCAGCTCGAGAGGTTATTAGTTAGACCAAGGCCTCTCCACTCCAAAGACTTACTTCTTTTACTACTGTTTTTTCACCTTAATACTACTACTGGTACAAAGTGCCACCAAAAGTTTGCCTCTTTCGCAGCGCCAAACACCAATAAGACTGGAGTCATCAGCTGAAATTCGAATGCCTGTCATTGTGACTTTTACAACAGGAGCCGCTTTTTCAAAAATTTTCAATAAAATATTTAGAGCCATATTATTATTTTGAGGTGCTCCGCTTATCTATTCCCTTTGCAGTAAAGAATGAACCAAATATTTGAGAAATGTGCCTGAATATGAAAATACAAATCCCATAGAGCTGCAGTCACAGGGACTGAAGGCGATTACTCAAGCGCAGCTAAAGTGTGATTTGGAAAATGTACACTGTAAGATACGATATACGAAGAACGGATGTACTATAAGGATTCTCAAGTCAATTATTGTAATTACTTTCTGTTTTAGAACTCTGCTGTGAAGCATATCTGTGCAATCTTTCCTTATGCCCGGTAAAGGGAAAGTCTAATTACAGCAGCAGTCTTGCACAGATAGCAGTCTCGGACTGATAGCGGCGAACGCAGCGTCGGCCTTAGATCAAAAACTGACAAGCGGCGAAACGCGTCGGCATTTATACCCTTGCCGTCGAATGTGCTAGCGTTATCGCTGGCGGTGGCGTAGGTTCCAGAACAATCTGTACCATTCGCACGGTGGGCATGATCTTATCGAAATGATCTACTACAGTCCGGAACCTTCTCGAAACCTGCAGGCGCGGTTTGCGCCGAGAATCGTGTGGTGTTTCGGAACGATAACAAAAACTTGTGAAATGGAACGTGGCATTGCCCCCCTATGAAAAAAGGCATCGTCCCGATGCTTTAACTAAAGATGAAGGTAGAATAATAATGCAAGAAAGTAAAATGAATAAAATACAATACAACAATAGTACAAAAAACACTGTTTCAGTCTGTTAACGCGCATGAAACGGCTTGAGGCGCGCGACATGGACGACTTGAGGTCGCGATCGGCGTCGTTGAGAGTTCGTGATGCCGTCGGGGACAACCTCGTAATCAAGTGGAACGAGACGTCGAACCACCTTGTACGGTCCGAAGTACCGTCGCAGAAGCTTTTCACTTAGTCCACGTCGGCGTATCGGCGTCCACACCGAAACACGTTCACCAGGCTGGTATTCTACGAAGCCTCGTCGAAGGTTGTAACGGTGGCTGTCGGTCGTCTGTTGATTCTTGATACGGAGACGCGCAAGTTGTCGGGCTTCTTCGGCGCATTGAAGGTACTCGCCCACATCGAGGTTTTCTTCGTCGGTGACGTTGGGTAACATGGCATCGAGCGTCGTTGCCGGGCTCCTTCCGTAGACCAATTTGTATGGAGATATCTGCGTCGTCTCGTGTACCGCCGTGTTGTATGCGAAGGTCACATACGGAAGAATTGCGTCCCACGTCTTGTGTTCGACATCGACGTACATAGACAGCATGTCGGCGATCGTCTTGTTAAGCCGCTCGGTGAGGCCGTTGGTCTGTGGGTGGTACGCTGTCGTCCGGCGGTGGTTTGTTTGGCTGTATGCCAAGATCGCTTGAGTTAAGTCGGCAGTGAATGCCGTTCCTCTGTCGGTGATAAGGACTTCCGGGGCGCCGTGACGTAGGACGATATTTTCGACGAAAAACTTAGCTACCTCGGATGCACTGCCTTTTGGCAGGGCTTTTGTCTTGGCGTAGCGGGTGAGGTAGTCGGTAGCTACCACGATCCACTCGTTTCCGAAAGCCGACGTCGGGAACGGCCCCAGTAGGTCTACCAATCTGCTGGAAAGGTCGGCAAGGTGGATCAATTGGCTGCAGAAGTCCCGCTGGCCTTGTCGGCGGTGTCTTGCGTCGCTGACAGTCCCGGCATGTCCTCACATAACGAGTGACGTCGGTGGTAAGACGTGCCCAGTAGTACCTTTCTTGTATCCTCGCGAGCGTGCGGGAAACACCGAGGTGCCCTGCCGTCGGATCGTCTTGCAGGGCCTGCAGAAATTCTGGTCGCAGAGCTGAAGGCACCACAAGGAGGTACTTTGCTCGAAGCGGTGAAAAGTTTTTCTTTTTTTTCTTTTGTAGAAGACCGTTTCGTAGAAAGAACGACGCAAGTGCGCGCTTGAATACCTTCGGGACTTCGGTGGTCCTGCCTTCGAGGTATTCTATTAGGGCTTTAAGTTCCGGATCAGCCCACTGTCGTTCAGCGAAGTCGTCGGTAGTTATCGTTCCCAAGAAGTAGTCGTCATCCGAGTCGTCGGGTAGCGGTTGGTCGACAGGTGCACGAGAGAGACAGTCAGCGTCGGAGTGTTTTTTGCCGGACTTGTAAATGACAGTAACGTCATATTCTTGAAGTCTCAGGCTCCATCGTGCGAGGCGACCTGAAGGGTACTTCAGGGTGGCTAGCCAACACAAGGCGTGGTGGTCGCTCACAACTTTGAAGGGCCTGCCGTAGAGGTAGGGGCGAAATTTCGACGTAGCCCAGATGATGGCGAGGCACTCCTTTTCTGTTGTGGAATAAGTTGCTTCTGCTTTGGATAGTGATCGGCTGGCGTAACTAATAACCCTTTCAAGTCCGTCAGCCCTCTGCACAAGAACGGCGCCAAGACCTACGCTGCTTGCGTCAGTATGTATTTCTGTCTCGGCGAATTCGTCGAAATGGGCAAGTAACGGAGGCGTCTGGAGGCGATGTTTAAGCTCCTAGAAAGCGTGTTCCTGTGGCTATTTCCACTTGAATTCCGAGTCGGCCTTGGTAAGGTTAGTGAGAGGATCGGCGATGCGGGCGAAGTTTTTCACGAACCGCCTATAATAGGCGCACAGGCCCAGCAATCGGTGCACGGCCTTCTTGTCAGTGGGCGGCGGGAAGTCGGCGATGGCGGCTGTTTTCCGTGGATCGGGACGAACTCCAGACTTGCTGATAACGTGCCCCAGAAACAAGAGCTCCTCATACGCAAATCTGCACTTTTCTGGCTTCAGTGTGAGTCCGGACGTCTTGATGGTTTGAAGTACAGCTTCAAGGCGCCGAAGATGCTCGTCAAAACTCGAGGAAAACACCACGACGTCGTCCAAGTACACAAGGCAAGTCTGCCACTTCAATCCTGCCAGTACTGTATCCATAACGCGTTGAAAAGTTGCAGGCGCTGAGCAAAGACCGAAGGGCATCACCTTAAACTCGAAGAGGCCGTCCAGTGTTATAAACGCCGTCTTCTCTCGGTCTCTTTCGTCGACTTCGATTTGCCAATAGCCAGTCTTGAGGTCCATTGACGAGAAGTACTTCGCGTTATGGAGCCGATCAAGTGCGTCGTCTATTCGTGGGAGAGGATACACGTCCTTTCTATTGATTTTGTTCAGGCGGCGATAATCGAC